GGGGGGGGGGGCAAGGACAGGCGAGGAGCACAAGGGCAACGCCGTGCTGCTCGCCCACGCAGACCCGCGTCCGCTGCGCGCACGGCGCCTCGTGACTGCCCTCCCCCCTCCCTGCACCGCACCCCCGCCTGCGGGCCCGCCAGATCAGGAGCCTGTATGATATGGGCGCGTCCAGGGACGGCGCGAGCCTGGGGGCGTGGCCAGGCGTACGCAGCAGCTCCCTCCTACCCGCGCTGTCAGGCGGCGCTCCGGCCGCGGCGGCAGGCGGCGGCGGCGGCGCCCAGTACGAGCTGCAGGGGTTGTTGCGGGCGCCCTGGGACTGGTCCCTCAAGACCAAGGTGCGCGTCGCGACCCCCGCGCCGCTCGCATGCCTCCGCGCCGCCGCCGCCGCGGGCCTGCGGCCCGCCTGCCGCGCGGCGGCGCGGCCGGCGTGCGCTGGGGCTGGGGCGGGCGAGGCGGCGCTGGCGGAGCGGCTGCAGCGGGCGCTGATGCAGTGGCGGCACCCGTCGTGGGCGCTGGCACCAGAGGCCCTCCAGGAGCTGCGGGGCGGGCCTAAGGCGGCCGGGGACGTGCTGACGGCGCGCGCAAGGGAGTGGCGCGACAGCCTGCGGGCGCTGCACGCGAGCGTGCGGCATGGGGAATGCCAGGTGGCGTACGTGGCATGCGCGCAGGTGAGGGGCTGGTGGGCAGGGGGTCCCAAGCCAACGGCATGTGCAGCCGTCGCACTTGCCGTGCACCTCCGGCCGCTGCAATATGACTCGTTCGGTCCTGTTGCGGTGCCCAGCATCCTGCCCGCTCACACCATCCGTCCTTATTCAAACAGCACATACACGCACACGCACTTTGGCTTTCATCCTCTCTCTCTCTCTCTCTCTCTCTCTCTTTCTCTCTCTCTCTCTCTCACACACACACACACACACACACACACACACACACACACACACACACATCCACCTGCAATCTCCTGAATCCCACAGCTCTTCCACCAGCAGCTGTCTGTGCTGCTGCTCTCGCCCGGCACCCTGGAGAGCAGCCAGCCGGGCGGCGAGCCCGAGCCTGCGGCGGTCGTGTCGCGCTCGAACCGGCAGCTGAGGGCGGCGCTGGACCTGGTGGGGGCAAACTACGTCATGGCGGCGACTGCAGCAGGCGCCGGCAAGCAGCAGCAGCAGCAGCAGCAGCAGCAGCAGCAGCAGCAGCAGCAGCAGCAGCAGCAGCAGCAGCAGCAGCATGCGCCGGCTACAGGGGAGCATCAGCAGCAGTCGCAGCAGCAGCCCCACGCGGCCGACGGCCGCGCAGCGTCGCAGCTGGTGATCCGCGGCGCGCGCGGCGTGCAGGCGCTGCACCTGCTGCTGCTGCAGCAGCCGTGGTGCACCGGGGAGGGCGCGGGGGACGTGCCGGTGCTGCTGGCGCCGGTGCCGTTTGCTGGCGGTGCGCTGTGCTCTTTGGCGTTCAAGGTGAGGGCTCGTGTGCACGCGTCTGCGTACGCCTGGTGTGCAGCATGGAAGCGAAGTCCAAACGCCTTTGGCCTGTCTCAGTGTTCGTCAGGCTGCACACTCATGAGTGTGCGCTGTAGCGGCCTCGCCGGAGGCTTGTGCGCTGCATCAACCACTCTCATATGCCACCTGGTAAACCCATTCCACACACCCTTTTGCGTTCAGGAGCTCACCCCTGCCAGCACGGCGCCGAGCCGCCGCCCGTTCGCGGTGCCGGTGGCGCCGCAGCAGCAGCACTACTCGGAGATCGGCGGAGGCGGCAGCAGCTCCGGCGGCGGCGGCGGCGGCGGCGCCCCGCCGGCGGCGCTCTTGGCGCCCTGGACGCTGGCGCGGCTGGCGGCCGTGCTGGCGGAGTCGGAGGCCGAGTTTGAGGTGTTCCTCGACCAGGACAGCAGCAGCAGCAGCCTCAACATCTGCGCGGACGTGCCTGCCCCCTGGCAGGACGCGCCCTGCGAGGCGGTCGCCGGGGACTCCTGGGAGGGCGGCCTGTCGGAGGATGAGCGGGCCGAGTGGGGGGCGAGCGGGCGGCGGCTGGCGGGGCGCTGCGTGCGGCAGCTGCGGTTTGCGGGTGGCGTGTTTGCGGCGCAGTTGCGGGCGCCATGACCAAGGCGCGGCTCCGAAGGGCGCGCAGCCTGCGGGGCCGTGCCCTGTGCTGCTGGTGCAGCAGGAGTGCAGGTGCAGCACTGAGCAGGCCGGATGCACTCACCCATAATGCATGCTGACAGCCGCAGCCTTTCATAGGCATGCAGCCCTGACCCTGGCTGCCTCATATCATAATTGACCGTCTGACCAGCATCCGATCGTTCTGACCGCCTGATTCAGGGGCAGCATGTTTACACGCGTCTACGCCTGTGCAGGCAGCAATGTGGGGCTGGCCCTGCCAAAGTGCACAAGTAACATGTGCTTTGAAGCCTCAAAAAGAAGGATAAAGGAGAGTTGGGCGTATGAACAGGGGTGCATCTGGCAGAGCAGTACAGCCTACCACGTACAAATCTACACAAAACTCCTTGACTGCACAGCATGAACACGACGTGGCACGGGCCCGTCAGCCGCCGCCCTCCCGCGTGGCGAGCAGCTTCTCCACCAGCTCACTCTTCTCCAGCAGCCCCTCAGACGACACCCCGCGCGCCGCCAGCAGCGCCTTGAGCTGCCGCGCCCCCATCGCCTCCAGCTCCTCCCTGCTTGGCACGTGGGTGGGGGTCCAGTGCTCCACCGGCTGGGGGGCCGGTATGACAATGCTGGGGATGCTTTTCGAGCTGGTGTAGCCGCAGACCTGGAGACAGGGCGGGAGGGGCGCGGCGACGACGGCGTGGGAGCGATAGGGGGGAGAGAGAGGCGTTCTGGTGGACGGAAGGGGGCGGGGTAGCATGCGCACGCCGCTTTTCCGCTGCGTGACGCATCAGTGCGTTTGCGCATGTAGTGCGCACACGAAAAACGAGTCGTTGCAGATGGATCGGAAGCGACAAAAGCTGGATCTTTTCCAGTGCCTTTCGGCACAGGGAAGAAGGAGCCAGCATCCACAGCAGCGTGAGCCCGGCCCATGACAGGACCTGCACGCGACCCAGCACGGCACATGCACCGCGCCCCGCACACCTTTTTGTGCTCCGGCCAGTGCGCCTTCTGGTGCGCCGCGGAGCAGTAATAGACCGCCCGACACCCCGCGGCCTTGCAGCGCGTGCACTGCAGCAGCCGCCCGCCGCTGCCCTCGCCGCCCGTCGCGCCGCACTCCGCGCACGCCTTGGACGGCAGCCCCGCCTCTGACCGCGCGGCGGCCGCCGCGGCCGCCTTCTGCAGCACCGTGGACCCCGTCTCAATCTGCTCCAGCGTGTCCTCCGCCACAACCCTCACCAGCCGCACGCGCCGCGCCGCGTACCGCAGCCCCTCCCGTATCCGCGCGTGCCCCTTGAGCGCGGGGCGCGCTGCCGGGTGCCCCGCCATCCAGCTCAGCGCCTGCACCGTGGGGAACAGCACCGCGTGGCCGCTCTTGTCGTCGTCCTCGCCACCCAGCGCCAGGAGCACCCAGGCGAGGCCGTCCAGCATGCCGGGCCGCGCGGCAATGAGGGGCGGCGCGACCTCCGGCTGGAACATCACCATGTTGCTGATGGCCGGCAGGATCCACGCGTCGTTGTAAGCCATGAACAGCCCCGCCGCCGCATCATCGCCCGCGGCGGCGCCACCGGCGCTGCCGCCGGCGCCGGCGCGGCCGCGGGC